CACTTTAGAGGAACCTATCTTGGTCAAACCAATTTAAACCACTCAAAAGAGAAGGTCTAGAATAACTCATCTCCCAGGTGACATGCGCATGAAACCCAAGCGTTGGCTTCCAGTTATCTTCAAATGTCAAGCTTCCGTATATCTCTTTATCCAGCAACTCTAACCTTTTATCTGTGTCTATCAACATGACCAAAAAAGGTGACAGCTATTTCAACTTCAAGCAAGGAGTGCAGCAGGTTTCAATAATGATGATGAGAATTGTGGAGAGATCGACCAGCAACCACTGGTGATGATACTGGAGGTGATGTCACTCACATCTCAACAGTGGTTGGAGATCTGGTTCAGGCCAACAATTTGATGGTGCTTTGATGTTTCTTTGTGTGACTTGTGTTTCTGTTTTTCTTTTCAGGGGTTTTTAGGGTTTTCTCTGATTTGGCAAATTTAAGTTTCTTTTGTCTGGGAATTCTATAGCAAAGAACAAATTTTAGTTTCAAGACCAAATTGATGTAACACAGCGGAATACGATTTAGAAAGATTTTTAAAGAAGAAAAAAAGAAAAGCAAAATGATAAATCCAATCCACAATCACAGAGATCAGCAATCTGTTAATAGTAATGAATGACCCATGCATTTTCTGATGCCTATATAGCCAGATATGACTACTTAATAAGGAATGTAACAACAAAAACAACTTCTAACTAAATAAGAAATAAACTTTAATAGTTCTTGAATAAACTGAACATAACTAATTATACATAAAGATTATAATCACGTGGGCTTCTCATAATAGTCAAATATGCTCATTCTAAATATTCCTATTCTGCATTAGCATTAGTTGATGCTAGAAATACCCTCTACTCTCTTGAATAAAGACATCAGATAAATACATACATCAGATTCATGATTTAACTTCTGAGTAAACCAGAATCTTAATCCAACTACTAGGATTTTTTCAATGATAAAATCTATTAGCCAAAGAACCTTTTCTTTTTTCTCTTTACAGCACTTCATAATAGTCACGGTGCAATTGATCTAGATTTGATAATATCTTGTACATGGCGGTACCCCCTTGGTACCTTTGTTAATATTAATACCACATTACACTTTTTATTTGAAAAAAAATTGATCTTGATTTGATACCTTTTTTTTTGGAAATAAGATCTTGATTTGATACTTAAAAATAGCAAGGGAGAACAATTCTTTTCTAAGAAGCAGGGCATTTCAAATTGCTCATGCTTGTAATTAGAGACATATTTGATTCACCTCGTTGCCTAGAGTCCTTATTATAATAGCAAACCATGATTACCTTCATCATGCACTTAGCAAAATAAACAGGATGAACCCAACTGGAAGTATCTGGCATGCCCCAATCAACTGGAACATCAGATGATTCGAAATCTGCAACCTATTCAAAGTGCATCTGACAGATTAGATTACTAGAAAAGAAATTAACAAAATTCTTTCCTGAAATTTATAAAAAAAATATACAGGTAGCTAACCTCAAAGTAGTCATCATCAAAAGACATATCATCAACACCATTGATATCTGAAATTTTATATTCCCCAGGTATCCTTTTATTCTCATATAATGGGATGTCCATGCCAATCAAGGCATTCTGACAGCAATGCAACCAAGACGAACATCAACAAAGTTCTGTGGAACTCATACTACAGAAATACAAGAAAACATAAATTCCGAATTTTAAACGTCCTCAGACTATCCAACGATTATCAATTACTGTTGCATTCTCTGTTAGCAAAAGACTGATACTGGTAACAAAATCTCAAGACTAAAAATCATTTGATACTCTCATATAAGCATCTGGATAAAGTTTCCAATGTCTGTGAAACTCATTCTGTAAAAATACAAGAAGAGTGGAACGTATGGAATATATCTACAGTGTATCCATTACCATTACATTTTTCCCTTACAAATCACCATCACTGCGAACATATTTCAAGCAAGATCAAATATTATCTTAGACTCTAGTATAAACATCTTGACAAACTTCCCAGTTCATCACCAAGAGTTTAAATTTGGAATTCATAATTATTTGATCTCTCACCTTATATGCTGTCCATAAGCCACTTATCACAATATAAGACGAAACACTTATTGTTAAACACTGACTATATAACAATTTATTATCAATATGTACTACTATTTCTTGAATATTGCCTGCCCCTATAAACTTAACTTATTTACTGATTCCTCATAATTTTTAATCATGTATTATTCGGATATAGAACGATGATACTTCTCCAGCATTTTGTTAATATGATTTATGTCTAAACTTTCCAAAAAAAAAATGAAGCAATAATCACATCAGTAGCTTAATATTAGCCATGAATTGACAGTGACCATTTAGGCCACGCTTCAACTTGTACAATCAGGTTAATATCTTAGGATGAAAAGTTAGGAAGAAAAGGACAAGCCTTTTAATGTTCTTTTAAGAGAAATTAAGTTAGGAGCATTTGGTGCTTTAAAGATTGGATATTTTCATGGTATATGGGTCATTTGATTGGAAAGAAATGTGAGAATCCTTAAGAAACAAGCTCATTCAGCCAATAACCTCTGGAGAGGATGGCATTTTTGGCTTTTTTGAGCTAAAAGCCCATGGTTTCTTTAGAGGATTCCTATATCTACGAGAAAAGGGAACTGGAATGGTGTTTTGTACTAACATAGATTTTTTTCCTCCTTTTTTTGTTTTTCTTAACTTTTTTAGATCAGAGGATACCTTACCCTCCTTTAGATGGTATTTGCTCTTTCCTCTCCTAATAACATTCTTCTTTTATTTAAAAAAAAAAAATTGAAATAAAAAAATGTGAAGTATATATATTAACATAGTACCAAAGAGGTATCACTCATGTACAAGATTTACAATTGAGTTAGGGTATTAATGACAAACTCAAAATCCTCATCCCTAATTATATCATGCCCTAATAAGATAGACACAAAAATGTGAAACCACCAATCTCTCAATTTATGAATCAAATTCTCGTTCTCCTCAAAAGCTCTATTGTTCATCTCTTTCCAAATGACCCAAAAAATGATCAAATGAATTAAATTAATACAATCTTTTCCTTTGCATAATCCACGCCAAGCCCAAATTTTCTCCCTAACAGTGTCTGCCATCACCCAGCTGATCCCTAGGAGTCCATAAACCATGCTCCACAACTCATAAGTCATTAGACACCCTAAGAGAAGATGGTTACACGACTCCCCAGCATTCAAACATAGATAACATCGGTTAACGAGATAATGACCTCCAATCATCAGCTTGCCAGTGGTCAATATACATTCCCTACTAGTCTCCCAAGCAAAAAAAGGCAATTCTTGGTTACACTCTTGACTTCCAAATCTTCTGGATTACACGTGCCAGTTGTAACATGATCTTGGAAGAAAGCAAGAATCGATTAATCCGAAACCGAGAAGGTTCCTTCTCTGGTTTGACTAGGTCCACTGCCCACCAACCAGAGGCAAGTCCACCAACTCCAGCCTATCCAACACCTCATTAAATTCCATTGCCCCAGCAGTAGAAAAACTAGCTCCACTCCTCTCCTCCCTCCTTAAAACCATGTTAAAATCACCCCCACCATCCAATTGTCACCCCATTTCTGTTTACATTCTTCTAACTCCCTCCATAGCATCCCCTCTCCTCACTGTTACCTTGACGATACACTCCAGCAAATAGCTATTCCTCACCTCCCCAGTTATTTTTGAATAGAAGTGACAGAGAGGTCTCATCCCTCACCATATCCATGCATCGAAATTTCTCCTCTTTCCATATAATCACAACCCCCCAGCTACTCCTTTCGCAAGAATAAAATGCCACCCCACATCTCTAACACTCCACAAGCTTTTAGCAATAGCATTGCCGCAGCATTCAAACTTGGA